ATTTTTCTAGTTCGTGGCATTTTTTCCTCCGTTTTATCTACTTAACTGCTGATATTCTCTGCCCACTATCGTAATGATAGGTTACCTGTGCACCCAAAATTTTCTGGATAGAAAGTTGGTCTCGACACGGCTAATGTACACGCTTTAATCCCACGGTGTCCTCATTTAAACATTAGAAAAATTTGTTCCACTTCACAGGTCGGGTGTTCGATCCCTGCATTGGCCGAGAAAGTTCATTCAGATTTTCTGGCGTGGTTTTCCGTTGTCAGTGATGTAGGATGGAGGGCCTGACAAGGACAGCTGTCTAGTCATTCGGATTGGAAGAAAAACCGAGGTCCCGTGTACACATTGGCGTGCACGTAAAAGATCCCTTGGCAGTTGGAATTCGATATAAGAGTAGGCCGTAGCGCCGCTGCACGGGCAAAATTTCCCTCATAGCACACTGTATGGCGTATGCCCGTCTTCATTAGCCCAGGTTAGGAGCAGATCAGTAGGACGTTAAACCCCATTTCATTTCACTAAATTCCTATATTTTAATAATTCTTGTATCAATCAGCTTTTTCAAACATCAATCGGCTAAATCCGACTATAATCAACGGATTAAGATCCCTGATGTACGTAAACAGCTACTCAGTTAACTGGTCACGGTTCGGTTGCAGAGGTGAATCCGTTCCAAAAAGTACTAATGGATTTTCGTTTTTATATCATAGCTGACCTTCAAAAACCAGGAATGGTAGCTACCACATTATTTTCGGTCACTGAAGACCACATACATACTTCATATTGCATTTGTCATTTGTAATCATTCTTCCAAGCATGTAGCATGAGATAGCCTCACTCATAGGTAGCGACTGATTGATAAACAGTATTTATTAACCTTGGCACTATAAACAAAGTCTCAAAAGGAAACAGAATAGTTTGATGTGATAAATTAATATAAAAAAAGACAGGACAGTAAAATCGTTTACATTATCAATTAAGCGATGCCGGGTGGGGGTCAAAGTTGATGACATACATACGGGTAATTGGCACTACCGTACAGCATATGGCTATAGTGAAAGGAACACGTGTAGATATAATTCTTTGGAAATATAGCAGACATGTTAAATAGTCAAACTTGTTTTGTATTTATGGCATAATTAATAATTTAAATCAACCTGCTTGCAACTGGTCAATAGCCTACTGGTGTCAAAATATGTGATCTGTCAAAGTAGGGGCAAGACGGAGAAATGAAATGACAAGAATGAATGAATGGAGTTTGTGCTATAATACTAATAATTTAGACCTGTGTCACAAAGTCATCCAGTATAAAAATTGAATCAAATGTGAATAAATAAATTTGTTAATGAAATTTGTTTACTGTAACCGATGTTTCAATTTGCGGAACCAGGAATTCAGTCGCATGTTTTTGAGCTGGCGTGACCACACGTAACTTATTAGTATTGTTAGCGTGAAATTTCGTGGCCTGCACAGCTATCAACTATTACATCTGTAAAAAATCTATTGTTGACGATTCTGAATAGCAGTAATATTTAGCTTATTGGTTATTACAGCAGCTTTAGAAATTACGTTTGTTTTATCATTAACTGTACTATTTGGAGCGGCATCTTTTGGGTTAGTACAAATAATATCTCTGAAATACTTGCGTTGGGCAAGAAATTGATACTAGCAGTAGTTTCATTTTACTTTTACATGGTTCTTAAAACAATTGTTGAGTTGCCCAACGTGCGTGTTTCTAAATTCAGTTTATTGTTCCAGCTTTCTGTTATGTTTCGTAAAAAAAGTAGTCTTGATTATCCAGGCCTATTACTCAAACGTAGAATGGTCGGTAGACTGGTTAAGCAAGACTACTTTCAAAACAAGGGCAGATAACCTATTTTTTACTCACGTGCTCAGATGTTATGGCCGACTCTCGGAACCATCTTTCAGTGTTTTATTTATGGATGATTAAATGGTCATAGCTTATTAAGTACAACATGACTGTTTATTTAGTGACCATAAATGTTTGAAACTGATTTAAGGCTTGGTGTGTATATATATATATATATATATATTGTGGTGTAATTGTCGAAATATTTGGAGATAGATATTTTTAACTATAGTTCTAGAAATGGCGGGAGAACGTCACATGATGCTACTGTTGACAGACAGGTCAGGAAGCTATCACTTTGATGTATCATTCATGAACCATTCTGACATCTATTATAGACAAACAGATGTCGATCTCTTTAGGGAATTATATCATAATCAACACTTAAGATATGATAATCTCGACTAATTAATGATACAGCAAATAATTAAGTTCATAATAGATGGTGTGTATTTTTGAATGCATACGAAGCGTGACCCAATTATTACTTCATAAACACTGCGTTCGTGTTTGATTCCAGCGGTAAAATAGTACCATGCGTTTCCCGACTAACAAAGACAAATATCTACATAGATTATCATGCCATTCGAGGCATTTTAATGTGTAATAGTTTTATATCCACCACGATCGGTATCGGTATCGGCCAATATATTTCACTGTCAATATCCGATATCGGTAAACCCGATAGGTGCCATATCGGACCATCACTAATAATGTATATACTATGTGTAGTCTCTGTGATGTCACCAGCCAATCAACTGGATTAAAGTCGTAATTGAAAAATTGAAAAGCGTTTCGGTGTGTCAGGTACTCAAACGTTAATAGCTGAATTAATTTTAATCAGATTGGTGTGGACTTGCCGTAAAGTGGATAGATTGTAACCATTGGCTATACGTACCAAAAAGTGTCCTCGCCCATCTTATGTGCACTTTAAGTTTCTTGATTTATGTAAAAACATATGGAAGGATAACGTTGCCAATATTATTTCATTGTTCACGGGGCAAACTGCAAATGTCACTAGTTCACAATACATATTTTAGTTTTACAATTTACAATTTCCATTGCTCAACAATACCAATGTCACGGTGTTAAAATACAGAATACACTTTTCAATAATACAAAATACAGTATAATAGTTATTTTGCACATGACACTTCTGCATTTTGCATAATAGACAAATGCATAATAGAACCTTGCATAGTAGAACATATACCTTATATGGGATGTACGACGTACGTCATTTGCATACGGAAAAAAATCCGGACTATGACGGAAATTAATGATTTACGCGATAAAGTCATAAGGCCGAGGTCATTAGAAGGGGGCAGTACTTGATTTTGTTAGTCTTCAAGGTCCAGGCTCTATAATGTAATCAGTTCGACGATTAGAGGATTCTGAAAGATAATAGTCTGGCTTAACGAGAACTTTGCGGTGGTATAACTCGATACGCCAACATAGAAAGTAAATGAAAATTGTCCTGTTCATATCTTATCCATCTGTTGATTTGGTGAAATAAAGATCTTGGAGCCACCAAAGCTATTTTATAAGTTATTGCGTGCGCGATGAGCCTACTCTAACCCGATACCCCCATGAATTTAGTATGTTTACGGTGATATTTCTCTAAAAGCCAGTAGTTTATTCATCCCTTGATTCCATGAAACAAAAAAACATTTTGCCACCAAAGCTGGTTTCGGTGCGTTTTGATGCAGCGTGGACATACCCTTTTTCTGCGTGCTCAGTTAGCCTAGTGTGTGATATTTTAGTATGTTTACGGTAATAGTATATTTTTTTTTCATGGGGGGGGGGGGGTCTATTACATATATACTTTGCATTAATATGTCGTTTTCTAATATAAAGGTAATAATTATTTTCGTGATAATTATATCTAGGTTTTTATTGGCGCTAGGAATATGTGTGCTAATTTCATTTCGTATCCAGGTGACCTTATGGCTTTATCGTGTAAATCATTAATTTCCGTATGCAAATGACGTTCACCGTAGATCCCATATAAGGTATATGTTCTACTATGCAAGGTTCTATTATGCATTTGTCTATTATGCAAAATGCAGAATCCAGAATGCAGAAGTGTAATGTGCAAAATAACTATTCTACTGTATTTTGTATTATTGAAAAGTGTATTCTGTATTTTAACACCGTGGCATTGGTATTGTTGAGCAATGGAAATTGTAAAACTAAAATATGTATTTTGAACTACTGACATTTGCAGTTTGCACCGTGAACAATGAAATAATATTGGCAACGTTATACTTCCATAAAAACAAAGTGTTGATTTAATTATTTTGACTTTGTGTTAGGTCAACTGATCTCCATAGGCTTAAAGAGTAAAAATATCCTTTTCTCTTCAAACACAAGATACAGCACCAACATGTCATGTTTTAGCCAATCTAAAATATGACTGCACTTGCTGTTTAATAGTATTTTGGACATAGTTTGGAAAGAAAAATAGATAAAGTAAAGCAACATCAATGAGATTTCATCATAACCATGGTTACATATTTCTACACAAATCACCTTTCAATCAACACTTTGATTTTTCACAAATAAAGTCCGGCCATTATTTGTGACTGTTTACTGGTTGTTTCCGACATTGATATTACGAGATGTAAAATATAGTACACAGTCTGTAATTTAAGTAATCAGGATTTTTTTTATATATACGCCCACATTTTCATGTGGACGTATATAAAAAAAATCCATTCACGTTTTGTTTGTGGACAGTCTACAGGTCACAATTTTTATTATCCACTTTAGACGAAACTCGAAATATAGGTTTATATCCCAAAGATCTTGGTTCCTTTCAATACTGTCATATATCGGACTGTAACTACATGGATTAGAGCCCCCGATTGTATGAAAAATCTTGTCAATAGCTTGTGGACACTCTAGAGGTCAAAATTTTTATCCGATTTTGATGAAACTTAAAATGTATTGTTATATTCCAAAGATCTTGTTTCCTTTTGATATTGACGCTGTTCTCTTGATCAGGTTTGATGAGATGTAAATATGTTTTTCTTGTTTCAAAAATTTCTCTGGTTATACTTTAGGCAATGAAGCTAGCTATTAAAATTTAGATATGAATTATTAAATTTTTTTTTCATTTCCATTACAGTTACAGAAGAAAAAAGCAAAGGAAAAGCCCCTTTTGCGCCGGAAATCCGAACTACCACATGACATGTCGATGATTAAAGCTCTAGAAACACACAAAAGATCTGATGAGTTCTTGACAACATCTTCAGAACAAAATAATACAAAATGAACAAGAGATTCTTAACGATTTATAATTATAATATTGCTGGGAATTGTAAGTACAGCACTATAAAAGCCTGTGGTGCGGTTCCCTCTTCTTTGTCACGGCAAGTCTACAGCTCCTTCCAGTGATTTTTCTATTTATCTAGTGTAGAAAAGTAGTTATTTTAATGTACATACTATAATGAGGACACTTAAAATTTAGCTTCACGTCTTGTACAGAAAAAAATAAAACACACAAATTTTGCGATGATGACGATATTATATAAATATATATATATATGTATATGGACTTTGATAAGCATTATCAAAAAAAGGGAAGACTGGAAGTTTTTCCCATTCTTCTTGTTGGGCTTTATTGCTTCCTCATGTGTGATGGTGAGAAGGGGGAAAGTGAGGTGTTATTTATTTATTTTAAGTAGTATCAGAAAGAAAGAAATACAATGTTTAAAGTAATATGTTAAATGTGACATTGCAGGTATATGTTGTAATAAATTAAATGCAGTATTACAACATAATATATTGTCCAAAAAAAGCAGAATTGTGAGAATGTGACATTGCTCCATGATTGCATGCTTTAACTAGTCTCTCAGACTTTGTCTTGGTAACCTGTTATTCTAGAAAAACTGTGATTTATATGTACTATCTAGCAACAGTTGCTGTACAGCACTATAGTGTTAATTGTCCCCCACCTTTCAAAGAAAGCAGGGGACTATTAATATGGGTCTGTCTGTGGAACACATAACTCTTTCTAATTGAGGTAGAATGTGCAAACTTGGTATAGGTGTCTTATTAGGTGAATGCCTTGACAGGGTTCGATCATGCACATTTTCCACTAAGGCTAAGCAGAGATAAGCAGTTTGATTGGTTGAGACTTTAGAACACTATAGTATAACTTTGGTTATTTCAATACCTTGCTTTTAATTGAGGTGTATGCTAATTAGATGAATGTCTTGACCGAGTTCAATAATTAATATTTGCCGCTAAAGTAAAAAGAGCTAAGCAATTTCACTGGTCGATGCTTTAGGACAAGATAAATTTTATTCTTACTTATAGATAATCAGTTTGATTGCTTGAAAAGATAAATGTGCAGTTAAAGATACATTATGGGAGATTCGATAACGAGTTGACAGTTCTCACTATAATAGTTAAAAACTAGATAATGTAAAGGCAATTTGCTAAAAATTTCATTCAAATTGATCTACTATGAACAGAGAACTAAGCAGTTGAAATTTCCGGCTAGCCTTGATCATCCTTACTAAAGTCAGTACAATAAACAACATAGTCTTGATTATCCATTTAATCGTTAAATCGTAAAGGAAACTTATGCGGTAAATCGGCTCATAATCCACTAAAGATCGCAGGCTAGTGATGTCATCTAGAGTTGATTATGGTCTGGATAGGTTAATTAATGTCTAATTAATAATTTAGGTAACATTTCAGGCCAAAAGCAAGACCTGCAATAGACAGATTTAGCTCTTACATAATGTATGTTTAATTAATATGTGTCATCTATTTATTTTGGGATTTCAGCAGGGGATGTCAGCCTCACTGTTGGCTTGTATTACTAATAAATACTAACATAAGTTATGGATTTGTTATTATTACTGTTAAATATTAGACTGGAGAAAGTTAGTTCAGCTCTGAACGTAGGACTCATTACACCCGCCCTGTAAAAATTGGAATCTTTGAAAAGTTAAGAATCTTTAGTCATTTATTGCTTTGCCTATTCCAATTACAATAATTTATAATCAAATTTTTTTTCTCCCAGGCTTACCTTATTTTCGTTTCATCTTATATGTCTGCGTTCGTAAATTTGTGCGTTACCCTATCAATGACATTGGTCAAGTCATTTAGAAGACAGGGACGTATTTTTAAACAGCGTGTTGTCGCTCATATTGGTTCTAGCGAGGTAAGCAAGGTCTTATTTTCTCACTAAGATGTTCATTTACATTGTTCAGGCGTTCACAGGGACTGACACGTCACCATTTAGCAGTAAAAAGTTGCCCAGTAAAATTTACTGGGAAGTGAATTTTTTTCGCCAAAGATTCAGTAGGATGGTTCCTGAACGTACAGGGCGAGTGTAATGAGACCTACATTCAGAGCTGAACTAGGAGAAAGGGGGAATAGATAGATGTTTTATATAACTACATATTTTATAATACATACTTAATTAAAATACTAAAAAAAAACAAAATTCTCATCACATTTTAACACCAATCAAATGCTGCTTTTTTTTAAAATAAAAAACTCTTTTCCAGTCATACTCATTATGTTCTCTTTATTATTAATCACTCTTCTCTTCTTTTTTTAAACACAATTATTATTACTACTTTTATAATCCACAGAGGTATGGTCCAGGTATGAATTGTTATGTTGTTTATCTTTAATGTTTTTGTGTTATTATAATAACTTACAATGTATATTATTGACCAAGTTGAGAACAATGCTGGTTGAGTGAGTTTTGCCGGTGAATAAGGATCATTTAGTGTTTTTGTCTTGCCATATAAGATTAAAATATTTTACAGAATCAGTTTACAGTCTTGAGATCAGATTTTATAATTTATTTCAGTTTTCAATATATTTGAAAATTATTATTTAAAAAAAGAACAAAAACTGACAATGAAATTTATAACAAATCTTGTTTCGATGAGAATTACTCCCAGTGGCATGGCATTACATAATTTTGGATACTTGTTTTTTATGGTTTTCAAGTGCTAGATATAAGATAATGGACATTCAGTTATACATGTACATTCTTGATAAGTAATATGTCCATAGATATTTATTTATGATTTATATGTTCTTGCTCATAAATAAGGGATTTTGACGAATGATCCCTTTTATAATACTTTGGTCCAATCAATGGATTTACATTTTGAAGAAGGAATTCATCTTTAACAGGATTTTTTTGTTTGTTTTTTTTTTTATGACAATACTTTTCATAATTTCTTTACATCACATTGTATTGAAACATAATTCTGTAGCTTCAAATACCCAGTACTAATATTCAATCCTTTTATTTACATAAACTTGTGTCACAAAATCTTTCTAAAATTTTGAACTTAAATAATTGTATTATTGAGGTTTTTGTGATATAGGACTGTTATCTCTGCATTACAAGACTGTCTTTTAAAATAAAAACAACCCGACTGTAGTGACATTTAAAGTGACCTTCATCAGTGCTTCCACAAAGTAACTGTTATAAAGTCATATTCCTTCAGATGTCTCTGTGTTCTTGATTTCACAGAGGTTTCTCTATACATTGTGTATAAAGACATGTATATTCACATTTTGATGGTATAAGTGTGACATATTAAATGGATATGGAGCAGATGTGTCTTTTATTCAGCTGTGTATCGTTTATTCAGCTGTGTATCACTAAAGCATAAATATTTTTCCAATAATTTTCCATTAAAAGTAAGCAAACAAGCATGTCTTTTGTAGAAATATATAAAAACTTTTACATCCAAGTTTAATAGTGTGTTAGTGTGTGGTGTATGAAAGGTTCTGTATTATATTATATATAATAAATTTTTAGTAAAAAAAGTGATACAAATTTGCTTATTTTTTTTTTTTTTTTTGTGAAGTAAAACTGGTGATGAAGATACCAGTAAACAGGCAGATTAGACTAATGTTTATACTAGAACTATATCAACTTGTTGCCATCAGGTATAGAGGCTAGCATAGAATTAACTATCAATGTTTAATTACTATAGTTTAATTTATATTTTCAATATGTATTTCCGATATTTTCAAATGTTTGTCTCCCTTCCCCACCTTTACTGATAAGAATAACCGTCCATGGTACAATATCGTGGGATCATTATTGTCCCCCGCCTTTCGAAGAAAGCAGGGGACTATTAAAATGGGTTCGTCCGTCCGTCCGTCCATCTGTCTGTCACACTTTTTGGGACACAATATCTCTTTCTAATTGAGCTAGAATGTTCAAACTTGGTATAGGTGTTTATTAGGTCAATACCTTGATGGAGTTGGAAGATGAGCATTTCTTCTTAGGGTACAATGCAGAGGTAAGCAATTTGATTGGTTGATGCTTTGGGAGACGATAACTTTAGTTCTAATGAAGTGAGAGTGATGAAACTTGGTGTTAGTTTCATTACATCATTACCTCGACCAAGTTCGATAATGAGCATTTTCTGCTCAGGGTAAGCAGAGCGATAAGCATTTTGATTGGCCGAAACTTTGAGACACAATAACTCACATTATTATTGAGCTAGAACATTCAAACGTGGTGTAGGTGAATGCCTTGATGGAGTTGGGAGATAGAAGATTAGAATTTTCTGCTTAGGGTAAGCAGAGATAAGCAATTTGATTGGTTGATGCTTTGGGACACGATAACTTTAGTTCTAATTAAGTGGGAGTGATGACACTTGGTGTATGGTTTTATCACATCAATACGATGACTAAGTTCTATAATAAGCATTTTCTGCTTAGGGTAAGCAGAGCGATAAGTAATTTGATTGGTCAAGACTTTGAAACACAATAACTCTCCTTCTAGTTGAGGTAGAATGTTCAAACTTGGTGTAGGTGTTCATTAGGTGAATGCCTTGATGGAGTTGGATGATAAACATCGTTAAGCAGAGATAAGCAATCTGATTGGTTGATGCTTTGGGGCCAATAACTTTGGTTTTAATTAAGTCAGAGTGATGAAGCTCCGAGTAGAGATTCATTATATCATAAACTTGACTTAAGTTTGATGATGAGAATTTTCTGCTTAGGCTAAAGCAGTGGACACATTAGCCGAATCAATCGGCGCCAAATTTTATTCGGCCGAATGGGTGGACACATTAGCCGAATGCTTCCCCTGATTCACCAGTCGATTGCATCACCTTTCACATCACATGATTAAACATGGCGGCGTCTATGTCTTCAAACAATCACTTGACTTCTCAATATCAGTGGATGATGAGTGGTCATTGGCTAATGAATTATACACTTGGCCGAATGCTTCGGCGAAGCAGACACACCAGGCGAATATAATTCGGCCAAATATATCTGTTTGATTGGGGCGAATCATTTCCGCCGAATGACAGTTGACACACTAGGCGAATTTCAACGCCAATTGATTCAGCTAGTGTGTCCACCGCTTTAGGATCGATAAGCAATTTGATTGGTCAAGACTTTAGAACATAACTCTGCTTTTAATTGAGGTAGAATGTTTAAACTTGATGTAGATGTTCATTAGGCGAATGTCTTGACTGAGTTCAATGATTAACATTTCGAGCTAAACAGAGGTAAACAATTTCATTGGTCGATGCTTTAGAGGAAGATAACTTTGATTCTATCTGATAGAAAGTGATGAAACTTAGTGTATAGTTGATAATCAGTTTGATTGCTTGATACTTTTGAAAAAAAAATAAATGTGCGATTAATTAATATGTGTCATCTATTTATTTTGGGATTTCGGCGGGCGACGTCACTGTTGGCTTGTTTAAGAAGTATATAATGAAAAAGTAGTACCAAAACAATGGGACCATAGTTTTTCTGCCGGTTAAAGTATTTATGTTGATAGTTAAAATATCGGAAATACAGCATGTTAAATGAGGATTTCATTGAAAAATTTACTGTTAATACATGTACATTTATAATTAGGTCATTCATTCCCTTGGCCATCATTCCTGTATGTCACAGATCTTCATTTGTTAATGCTGATGTGCTGAGTACTGTACATGTAGTAATGTGTTATGGTAGGGCAGCATATTGTCTCGTTCTCGTATGTTAATAATTATTTAAACAAAAAAAATTACAATTAAATAATGAATTTTTTTAGTCTATAAAAAATATTACATTTTTTATCGTTTAGCCAAGAAATTATTTTATGAATTAATCGATGGTTTTACAATGCATGTATACTTGTCACAAAGTTTTAATCTGTCCTGTAAAAGATAAACTCAAAGATATTTATCCATGTTACAGCATTTGTTGTATATTCTTCCTACTGTCTTGTAAGATATTGTATTACAATTAGCCTCAAGAATTGTGTCCTTTTAATCTCTGGGCCTGGCTAGCGGTTGTGGTTTCGATCCCTGGTGTGAGCATATGTGGCTTGGAAAGACCCCTGCGCATGCACTAAGATAATAGAAATGAAACAAGACATGTCTGGGATATCACCTTCGGTGGAAGCGGACGTTAAACACTAAGAACATCTCTGCACAACCACATTTTGCAAGAGATGGATAGAGAACACGATTTTTTGTACAATCAGGGGCAATAATCCAGAAAGTTGTGGTCTGAAATGTGCAAATATCAAAAGGGGCTTTAGGATATAAAGATACGTTTTAAGTTTCATCAAAATCGGATAAAAATTGTGACCTCTAGAGGGTCCACAACCTTCGGATTATTTGCGTACAAAGAGCGGCCATTTTGTTGGGCAGTTTCATTTCAATTGTCCCGAAAGAAGTCGAATTCAACCTTCGGTATTTCAAGCTTCAAATTGTGACCTCTAGAGAGTCCACAACCTTGACATACTAGATGTTTACACTATTTGCGTACGAGGTGCGGCCATTTTGTCCGGCAGTTTTGGTCCGATTTTCACGACATTCGAGCTCAACCATCATTAGGGTGTAACGGAGATATATTCAAACGTTTTTAAATCGGCTAATAATTGTGACCTCTAGAGGGAGCACAAGATAAAAGGGTGATTTTTTGTACAAAGGCCATAATTCAGGAAGTTATAAATATATAAAGGAACCAAGATCTTTGATTTATAAACAAGTATTTCAAGTTTCATCAAACTTGTGACATCTAGAGGGTCCACAACCTTGACATATCAGATGTTTACTCTATTTCCGTACGCGGCAGTTTTGGCACGATTTTTACGAAATTCGAACTCGACCAACATTACCGTGTAACGGTGATATATTCGAAGGGTTTTTTTTTGGTTTTTTTTAAATCGGCTAATAATTGTGACCACTAGAGGGACCACAAGCTAAAAAACGTGATTTTTCGTACAATCAGGGGCGGCCATTTTATCTGGCAGTTTTGGCCCGATTTTCACGAAATTCGAATTCCAACAACATTACGGGGTGACGGTGATATATTCAAACGTTTTTTTTTTAAATCGGATAATAATTGTGACCTCTATAGAGTGTCCACGAGCTAAAAACGTGATTTTTCGTACAGATTATATCGCAGTAGATTATGAAATATATCACACAAGCGATATCTACTGTAGAATGTATTATTGGATGATAAAAATGTATAATTAGATATTGGCTAGGTGGGTAGAGATAACAATATGAGATGGGGGACCTAGAACAAACTACAACAGAAATCATTTCTTTGGGAACTGTTCAGGTATGGTCTCTAGTACTCCCATAACGAAAGTGGCCATTATCGGTCTTGGGGGAAATTTGCATAATTAACGTAACTTCAAGATGGCCGCTAGTTAACCAGGAAATCTCCGAAACGGTTGACTTTAAAGGAAATAAATGTATTACCGACCTATAGAAATCGATACCCACGAGTTCACAAAGATAGGTTGCTAGGCAACGAAACATGCGCCCACGGCAGCTAAATCGTTCGACGGCCGACAAGGGTTGCTGCATATTTATTCTTTTGTAGGTAATTAGGGTCATTTACAAGACAAATTCATACAGATCAGATTATAATTTTTGTCGTTTGAGGGTTCACAAGGTTCTACAAACTGAAACGTGGGACTTAACCCTGGAATAATTTGCAGACATTTTTTAAATTTGACAGGCTTTTTCGTTTTACTAATTTAAATAATGCATATAAATTTCATACAGATCGGATGATAACTTTTGTCTTTCGAACGTTCACAAGGTTCACAAAGTAAAACGAGGGCCATAAACCTCTAGAGCTAATTGATGGAAATTGCTTAAATTCATTTGGCCTCCATTTCACAAATTTAAATGATACATATAAATTTGATACATATCGGTTGATAACTTTCATCAATCGAGCATTAACAAGGTTGAACAAAGTGAAACAAGGGCCATAACTCGAGAAGTAATTATTGTAAATTGCTGAAATTCAATAGGCTTTGTGGTTTCACTAATCTAAATGATGCATATAAATTTCATACAAATCAGATAACTTTTGGCTTTGGGGCGTTCACAAGGTTCAACAAAGTGAAACAAGGGCCATAACTCTAGACATAATAAACAGAAATTGCTGAAATTCAATAGGATTCTTCTTTTTACTAATTTAAATGACGCATATAAATTCCATACAGATCGGCAGATAACTTTTGATTTTAGAGCGTTCATAAGGTGGAACAAGGGCTATAACTCTAGAAGTAATAAACGAAAATTGCTGAAATTCAATAGGATTCTTTTTTTATACGCCCATATTTTCATGTGGACGTATATTGTCGTCTCCCCTGTCCGTCCGTCCACAACTGTTGGTGAACAGTCTACAGGTTACAATTTTTATCCGATTTCAATGAAACTTGAAATATAGGTTTATCACCCTAAGATCTCGGTTCCTTTCGATATTGGCATGTATCAGACTGTAACTTCATGAATTGTGGCCCCTGATTGTACGAAAAATCACATTTTTAGCTTGTGAACACTGTAGAGGTCTCAATTTTTATCCGATTTTGTCGAAACTTGAAATGTAAGTTTATAATCCAAAGATCTTGGTTCCTTTTGATATTCTTGCATATCGGACCGTAACTTCCTGAATTATGGCCCCTAATTGTACGAAAATTGCGTTTTAAGCTTGTGGACCCTATAGAGATCGAATTTCGTGAAAATCGGCCCAAAACTGACAGACAAAATGGCCGCCCCTCGTTCTCAAATAGCGTAAAAAAAAAATATGGCATATCAAGGTTGTGGACCCTATAGAGGTCACAATTTTTATCCGATTTTGTTGAAACTTGAAATGTAAGTTTATAACCCAAAGATCGTGGTTCATTTCGATATTCGCGCATATCAGACCGTAACTTCCTGAATTATGGCCCCCGATTGTACGAAAAATCGCGTTTTTAGCTTGTGGACCCTATAGAGGTCATAATTTTTATCCGATTTAAAAAAAAAACGTATTATTATATCACCGTTACACCCTAAGGACGGCTGAGTTCGAATTTCGTGAAAATCGGCCCAAAACTGACAAACAAAATGGACGCCCTCGTTCTCAAATAGCGTAAAAATATGGTTCATCAAGGTTGTGGACCCTATAGAAGTCACAATTTTTATCTGATTTTGTTGAAACTTGAAATGTAAGTTTATAACCCAAAGATCTTGGTTCCTTTCGATATTCGCGCATTTCGGACCGTAACTTACAGAATTATGGCCCCTGATTGTACGAAAAATTGCATTTTTAGCTTGTTCTCTATCCATCTCTCGAAAATGTGGGCGTATCCTGCCTGGCTGTTTTTTTTTACTAATTTAAATGACACGTATAAATTTCATACAGATCGGCAGATAACTTTAGATGTTAGAGCGTTCACAAGGGCCATAACTCTAGAAGTAATTAAGGGAAATTGCTGAAATTAATAGACTTCTTCGTTTCACTAATTCAAATAATGCATACAAATTTCACACAGATCGGATGGTAACTTTCGATGTTAGAGTGTTCACAAGATTCAATAAAGTAAAACAAGTTCCATAACTCTTGACGTAATAAACGGAAATTGCTGAAATTCAATAGGCTTCTTAAATAATGCATATAAATTACACAACAATCGGATGATAACTTTTGGCATAAGAGTGTTCACAAGGTCCAACAAAGTAACTCTAGACGTAATAAACGGAAATTATTGAAATTAAATAGGATTCTTCATCTCACTAATCTCGACAACATATGATCAATTTTAAAACAATCGGATCATAACTTTTGGCGTTAGAGCGTTCACAAGAAATTGTGGACGTGGGGCGACGGCAATAAATGCAGACATTTTTTGCCCACCTTACTGTGGCGTCGTAACGTCACAATCTAATTAAAATATAGATCTATATTTCGTTTCGTTTTTTATACTTTCGATGGCCTACACTACATGTAGATCTAACAAGCTATAGTCAGAGTAAAATTTTTTACTCTCTGTAATAGTGGGAGTTCACATTCTATGGCGTCAGGTACCCAGCAAGCGACATTTGATCCGAATATACCCCGACATTCTCCACACCTAGCAGCACAAGCCAAACCATGCTTACGGCAGCTACATCGCTTGGAATTACAGTCCCCTTTGCAGCTACAACGTATGATTTTCAGTAGTGATTCAGGCGCAGTTGGGCTGTCCATCGTCTTCACAATGTTCTGGATTTAGTTCTGTGGCAACGTTAGTCCAGACTTGAACCTGGTGGTACACTCTGTAGCTGTGATATTTTGCAGTATTTTCAGTTGGGGGGGGGGGGGTAGATATACTGAGCGCCATGGAAAACGCATCACTTAGTTTTTCGTATAACAAAATGATCCTGTGAACAATATTCAAATGGGAACACATCAGTAACAACACATTTGTACGCTTATGGATGTTTAATCTGTAATCAAGGGTACAAAAACCAAAAGTACGACACAGATGTCAGTAGCGCGTGTGTCCTCCACGGGCCATCATCGCGGTTGTCTACCGCATTAACGCGATCCAAGTGTAGTAAAGACGACAAGTAAAATCAAAATTTTGAACTATAAAAACAAAACGAAATTGGATCTGTGTTTTAATCAGATTGGTAACGTCAGTACGTTGTTCTGATTGTGACGGCATCAAATTTAATTGTAACTTCACTTTGAAAACTGCAGGAAACTACACCTGTTGTACATACTTTAACACTACTGTATTTGTAACATGGATGGGAAATCTTCCTTTGTTCTTTTCATTGAATAAGCAGATTGTTTTCCCTCTAGTAGATTGGGTGGATCTTAACCGTGCAATAACTAGACTTGTAACATGGATGGGAAATCTTCCTTTGTTCTTTTCGTTGAATAAGCAATTAAGGTGTTTCACTCTAGTA